GTTATGCGACCGCATAATAGACTGCATATTTCTCTCTTCAAGAGCTGAATCACCTGCTTCAGTATGCGGTTGGTTTGCGGCTCGCACATCACTTCTGCGGTCGCAGACCTGCCGCATTTCTGCCCTTCTATGGGTTTTTGTCTTCTTTTCCGTGTTCTTGGTTCTTCAAGTCTAGTACACTGTAAAATACCAAAACTTCATAAGAAATAACTAAAAATGCTTTAAAAAATGAGCTAATGTCTATGCAATTAGTATCAAAAGTGCCGAAATTCTACGGCATATCAACACCCCCAACTTAGACTTTTGCTTGTCCTCAAGCAACTAAAACAAAATCATCCTATCATACACTACTTTATTTCCGACAGATCACAAAATAACAGTGACTGTAGATGGTGCTGACTGTCAGCTCACAAGCATGTAACTTCTTTTATTCACCCTTCGTGGAAGACAACGATCATTTAGCAATTCGACCAATCAACTTGTAAACTTCGAGCCTCAAGCAAAATGACAGAATGCTACCCACAGCTAAGTGTTCACTTGTATACTACTTCAAGTACCTAACTTCTGCTAGATCTTGAAATTCATGCGTGCTCATAACAAAGAAAATTCCCAACTCACAAATATGTACAGGGGATACAATCAAACACTCTTGCACTCAGAAAGAAAGCTAAATGATACAAGTATCAGTCCATATGCTTGCCCTTATTTTAACTCGCTGCTATCTCAGGAATAATTGCTTGTAGATCACCAAGGACTTTTCATGGGTCGTAGTGTAGGCTTCGGGACGGATTGGACGAACATTTGGGAATGTAGTGGATATACCCTCCTTGAACTCTACATACACTTTGCTTCTTTACCACATATCACTTATTGACCTCGAGTTACTGACATAGAACCACCTCAAAGTATTTCTTCAGTTTTCACAAGACTCCACTCCATTTCTCTTTATATATATATATATATATACAAATATTTTTCTTTTGTTTTTCCTTTAGAGCTTGAGTATCTTCATATATACAACTTTGAGGCTTTTCTGTTTTTCTTCTACACACAGTAGGCAACCTTACCAATTTTGACTTAACGCAGACACCCCAACTTAGGCTTTTAGCCTCATTCTTAATCGTTCAAGGAAGGATGGGTTCAAAAGAGGGAATTATTTCATAAAGGGGTAAAGGTTTATAATGTGATAGCCAAATAAAAGGTTAAAGGCTCAACGGGGTAACTAGGATAATTGATGTACCAGGGGGGTCAATTTGGTCAAAATTAACTAGCAATCACAAAGAGAGCCTAAGATCATTTCAGCACCCAATCATTAACCTGAGAGTTGCAGTAAGAAACCAATCGGGCAAGTTCTAGACATCACAAGTTAAGCATATGCATTATTTATACAAATCTTCACTCACTCACAACGCATGAACTGTTCGACTCAGCATAATTTCATCCCTCAAGTGAATGCAAGGCAACTCAAAGCTTCATCACATGATATTTGAGATTCTGAGTAAGCATAAAGTCAAGGAGCGAGCCTCGAGTTCACAAGAATGACTAACCGTTTATTTACAAAATTAGAAGGGTGCAATTTATTCAAAACAATAACTTATCACATGCTTGAATCTAGAACAACAACACCAAACAAGTCAAAATATTTTGTGCTACCACCATGGTTCTACTATTACACCCTTGGAAAAGAACCCGACGAAGAAAAAATAAGGGGAATTCATTGCTATCTACAAATATACACTATTAAAGGAAATAGTTTATATACAAGTTTCACACAAAAATTTGACTACCCCACCCCCAACCAAAAAGCATGCATTGTCCCCAATGCATTGAGAAAGTAAGATCAAAGTTTAGGGGCTTCCTGGGGTGCACTAGGCGCTAGGAGGAGCAGGAACATCCGAGATAGCTGTGGGGTCAGATGCTGGCACTATGGAAACAATAGGTGGAACCTCGGACTGTGTGGTGGTGTCTGAGGCCGGAATAGGAAGCTCCACCTACTGTGAAGCTGTGTTTGGACTTGGGAGCTGCTAGCCTCACCCAGTGATGGCTGCGTGGACTTGGTGTCTATGCCTGTAATGGAATGTGCAATTGCTGTCTGCACATCTACTTCCTCTTCACCCTGTGTATCTGTGGAGACAATAATGTGTTTGCCTTTGTTGTCCCATTGATCTTCATTCTCCTCAAGCAATGCCTCCTCATCGGTCTCCTCCTCCTCAGTGTCTCCCTCATCAGTCTCCCCCTCTGACCCTCCGGATTCCTCTTCCGAATGAGTGTCAATGTGCACAACGGAATTCGGAGCTTTTGAAGCCTCAGTACCATGGGCCTCCGGAGCTGTCATGAGGTTCGTGAAATTAAGGTCCAGGCTCGGAATGTGGGAGGTACCAGTGCCCTGATCCCCTTCCTCCGGAAGAAGGGAGGTCAAATAAAACTCCAAATTTTGCAACTTGTGCAACTCTGATTTCAACTCAGCAACATCCTTTTGGAGTTGAGGCATATCCCCAGCTTCGCCTCGCTCGACCCTCTCTAGACGCACTTCAAAGTGCTTGAGTCGATCTTCATAGGATTGATGTTATTTCTGAAGAACGCTCACTGAGGTTTGGATAGGGGCCAGTGCTTGCCGGATGAGAGCTGGAAAGTCTTTGGTCAGTCTATCTACTTTGGCATTGGCATATTGTGCCAGTAGACCAAGCTTCGAGAGAGTAGGCAGGGAAGCAGGTGGCTGTGTAGTGGTAGGTATGGGAATGGATGTAGAGGTGGCTGGTGCAGAAGGAGTGTCAGGTATTGAGGGAGCAACAGGTGCTGCTGAATCTGATGGAGCAGTGAGTGATGTCTCTAGTGGGTTGTCTATCACCTTTTCTGCGGCATCACTAATCCGTGTGATGTCAATATCTTGAACAGCCTTTTCGATGCGATCATGTTTGGGGATATGAGGCACTTCCCTAGCTTTTCACAAAGAACTGATCAAACATGGGAAGGGGAGTGATGTTTCTTTTTGATTCGCTCTCATTCCAATCTCCTGGAATATAATTTCTCCCACATTAACTTTGATGTTTGTCATGATGCATGCAATGAGGATTGCCTTCTCGATGCTTATGTCGGTTTCATTTCTAGTAGGCATTAGACGAGAGCAGACAAAACTGTGCCAATACCAGCCTTCATGAGTGAGATCCCTCTTGTGAATCTTTTGGTGCGGAGCTATCCAGTAGGGAGTTCCTTTGGCTATGACGAAAGCAACCCAAGTACGCTCGGATTCCTTATTGGCAAGTTTTGCATCATATTCAGCCGTTCTTGACGACCAATCCTCAAAATATATGTCGTTGATTGACACGACATCACAGAGTAATTGGACCCCTCGAACTTGGACAGACTGTAAGAATACACGGTTCCACTTCTGCTCAGTATTCCTGGAGGCAGTATAAGCAGCATAGAATTCCCTAACGAGCATCTCATTATACTCTCCCGGGACTTGAGTGAAGAACTCTCATTGCCTCTTTTTAATATTTTCAAGCACATGAGGGTAATGTTCTTTTAAACCGTTCAGGCCTAGCTTCTTCTCTTCAGTGATTTTTCTCTTTGCTAAGCCATGTTTGTACAGGTTCCAAGAGCCGGGAACCCCAAACCAGAGATCTTCACCACTTTTCTGACGTGTTTCATCATGGAGATCAACGAATGGCATAAGATTAGTATGTGCCTCCTCCTCTTCAGACTGGGAGGAGTGCTCGTATGTTCTTCTGGCTGTTTCAGGCCTTGGGCATTTGGATTGTTGTACTTGTTGGCTCAGGGCAGCAGCCCGTTTGTTTCCTCGAGCGGGAAGTGATCGCAATGTGAGAGACTTCTTTGGTGCCATTCCAGTCAATGAATTAATGGGTGAGTAGTTGATATAGTACGGGAAACATATTGAGAGAGTATAAAGGAAGCAAGAAGCATTTGCGATAAGTATTGTGATAGTATAACAACTCTGCGAGCCACAAACCCATCGCACAATAACACCACTCAGAAGCCAAAGCAAGAATGCGATCGCAAAAGGAGTCGCATAACAACTTATGCGACCGTAGATTGGTCGCGTTTTGCTCACCAGATGTGGCAAATTACCTGCCTCAGTCTGCGGCACTTTCGCGGTCCGCAAAATGATTCTGCGATCGCGAACCCAACCGCAAAAGTTCTTCTTAAAAAGCTACCTAGGGCACCAAAATGTGACGACTCTGCGGACCGCAAACCAGTTATGCGGACCGCAAGGATCGTCATCCTTAGTCAAAAGGTCAACCCACTCAACTTACAGAGCTTATAACACCCAAATTCAGACATTGCACACCTATGACATAGAAATATTTCCCAACCCCTGTTCTTTACTCCTGGATTAAATCTTTAGAACCCAGTTTACCCCCAACATCAATTTTCCCCCAAACAATGATTTTCGAATCAATTATGCACACATTGATACCCACAGCAAGGGATTGAGAAGAAGGGGGAAAGGAGATGCAAACACATGATCTTCTTCAACGTGATTAAGCAAGAGAGAGGAAATTTACATACCAAATATCTGAGCAGTTGAAGCACTCGTCCTTAGATACGAACCAGGTGAACTCTTTCTTCGCAATTCCTTGTTATTTTTTTTGTGATTTTGTGTTGTTAACTCAATGTTTTTGGTCTTTTTCTTGTTCTTCTCTTTTTTTTTCTTTTTTTTATCTCTTTTGTGTTATGCAGTGCTTATGTGTGTAAGAGTGAGGGTGTGCGACTTAAATGCGAAGGGGGTAGGGTTTAATACCTGGGAGTTCTGCGGTGGAAAAGTAGATCGCATAACACATTATGCGGTCGCATATGTGTTATGCGATAGGTTAGTAACTGCTTGGCTAAATCCACTTCGCGATGCATTCTGCAGTCGCATAATCATTATGCGGGCCACAAAAATAAAAATCTCACCGCATTTTTGAGGGCCAAAATTGCATTTTCTTCTGAGTGTGTCTGTGACCACTATGCAGTCCATAAAGCCATTATGCGACCGCTTAGTTGCCCAAAGACCACAGGTCCTGCTTTCCTTCATTCTTCTCAGTCCTTGCACCATGTTTCATTGTATTTTTGGCTACCTGCATTCTAACACACACGTCAAACTGCTCAACACTAACAACTAAACCTACTGAAATTAAAATCTAACAAAAGAATATTACCACACATGGGTTGCCTCCCAAGAAGCGCTTGATTTAATATCGCGGCATGAATGTTGACCCCATTTGGGCTAATCAGTGGTGGGGGCTGGTGTAGGACTATCCTTGAGTGTGAATTGTTCTACCAAGTACCTTTCTTCTGTGGTTCCGAGGTAATGCTTGACCCGTTAGCCATTTACTTTGAAAGTTTGAGTCCCGTCCTCCGACTCCAATTCAATAGCGCCATAGGGGGACACATTCACAACTTTGAACGGGCCAAACCATTTGGATTTGAATTTGCCCGGAAATAACTTGAGTCTTGAGTTAAAGAGTAAGACCAAGTCACCGGATTTGAATTCCCGCTTCAAAATCTTCTTGTCATGAACAAACTTTATTCTTTCCTTATACATGGCTTCACTCTCATAGGCATGAAGACAGAATTCTTCCATCTCGTTGAGTTGTGTCATTCTTAGGTTAGCAGCTTCGACCCAGGCAAGATTCAACTTTTTCAATGCCCACATGGTTTTGTGTTCAAGCTCCACTGGCAAGTGACACGCCTTACCAAAAACTAACCGGTATGGTGAGGTGCCAATAGGAGTCTTAAATGTTGTGCGATATGCCCACAATGCATCATCTAGCTTCCTTGACCAATCAGTCCTGTTTGCATTAACAGTTTTTGCTAGGATATTTTTGATCTCCCTGTTGGAAACTTCAACCTTGCCACTCGACTGAGGATGACAAGGGGTGGCCACTTTGTGCTTGACTTTATACTTTTCGAGTAGCCCGGTGAAGGCCTTGTTGCAAAAGTGAGAACCACCATCACTAAGGATGGCCCTGGGGTGCCAAACCGCGTAAATATGTTCTTCTTCAAGAAAACGGTCACACTCGTTTCCTCATTGTTGGGCAAGGCGATTACCTCGACCCATTTGGAGACATAGTCCACTGCCACCAAGATATATGTCATGCCATAAGAGCTCATAAAGGGACCCATGAAGTCTATCTCCCACACATCAAAGATCTCGACCTCCATTACAAAGTTAATAGGCATCTCATGTCTTCTAGAAATTGACCGTTGTCTTTGACATTGATCACATGCCTTGACCATTTAATTTGTGTCTTGGTATAACAATGGCCAATAGTAGCCACATTCTAGCACTTTTTCCGTAGTATGGTTTCCACCATGATGGCCCCCAACTGGGGAGCCATGACATGCTTTGAGAATTTACATTACCTCATCTTCCGGAACACAACGCCGAATGATGTTGTTGCAGAAATATAGAACAGAAAGGGTTCCTCCCAATAGTATTGCCTACACTCCCGCAAGAACGTTTTCTTTTGATAAGCTTCCAATCCGTCGGGAATAAGGTCATTAGCCAAAAAGTTAGCGATGTCGGCATACCAAGGGGTGAAGGTGCTAGACAATGCCAATATGTGCTCATCTAGAAAGGCATAATTAATCTCAAGATCTTCTTTTGGTCTCCCTCCCTCTTCAAGCCTAGATAGGTGATCCGCAACTTGATTCTCTGTCCCTTTCCGATACTTGACTTCAAAGTCAATCTCTTGTAACAAAAAGACCCACCTAATCAATCTTGGTTTAGCATCCTTCTTCCCCATAAGATAGCGGAGAGCAGCATGATCGGTGTAAATTATCACTTTGGACCCCAACAAATAGGCCCGAAATTTTTCAAAGGCATAGACAATGGCAAGCAGTTCTTTCTCAGTCACAGTGTAATTCATTTGTGCGCTATTGAGTGTCTTGATTGCGTAGTAGACAGGATGAAGGACCTTGTTATGTCGTTGATCAAGTACCGCCCCAATAGCTATAACACTGGTGTCACACATGAGTTCAAATAGAAGGGACCAATCGGGTGTGACAATAATAGGTGACGTGGTGAGCCTTGCTTTCAATTCCTCAAAAGCTTTTAGACACTTCTCATCAAATTCAAACTTTGCATCTTTTTCAAGGAGCTTGCACATGGGATTTGTAATTTTTCAGAAGTCCTTGATAAAACGCCTATAAAAACCGGCATGCCCCAAGAAGCTCCGGACACCTTTTACCAAAGTGGGAGGAGGAAGCTTGGAAATGATTTCGGTCTTTGCCCGATCAACCTCTATGCCTTGCTTGGAAATTTTGTGGCCTAGAACAATGCCCTCGTTCACCATGAAATGACACTTTCCCTAATTTAGCACAAGGTTGGTTTCCTCACATCTTTTGAGCACTTGTCTAAGGTTTTCGTGGCAATGCTCGAAGGAGTCACCAACTATAGAGAAGTCATCCATAAACACCTCTAAGAAATCCTCCACTATGTCCGAGAATATTGACATCATGCACCGTTGAAAGGTAGTCGGGGCATTGCATAGCCCAAATGACATACGGCTAAAGGCAAAGGTTCCATACGGGCATGTGAATGTTGTCTTTTCTTAATCTTCTAAAGCGATGTTGATTTGGTTATAGCCAAAATATCCATCCAAGAAGCAATATAATGACCTTCCCGCTAGCCGATCAAGCATTTGATCAATAAAAGGCATAGGGAAATGGTCCTTGCAAGTAGCATTGTTGAGCTTCCGGTAGTCCATGCAAATTCTCCACCCGGTCACCGTCCTTGTTAGGATGAGCTCATTTTTGTCATTTTGAATCACGGTTATGCCTCTTTTCTTTGGCACACATTGCACCGGACTCACCCAAGGGCTATCGGCAATGGGGTAGACTACCCCAATATCTAACCATTTTATGATTTATTTCTTTACCACCTCTTGAATGGAAGGGTTCAACCTTCTTTGACGCTCCACGCTATGTTTGCTCTCTTGCTCCAATTGTATCTTGTGCTCACAAATTCCGACGAAAATCACTCGTATGTCCGCTATTGTCTACCCAATAGCTTGTCTGTGCTCCCTCAGGATATTCAACAAGTATTCAACCTGCACATCATTTAACAAAGAAGAAACAATTACAGGTAGAGTTTTATTAGAGCCAAGAAATTTATACCTTAAGTGCGGTGGAAGTGGCTTGAGCTCAAGTTGTGGCGGCTCGATAATTGAAGGCTTATCGGGAGGTGTGACTCTATTATATAAGTCAAGAGAAAGTTTCTTTGGTGCATAAGTGTAGGACCCAAGCCCTTCTAATGCATTTACCGATTCCATGTATCCTTCCATGTCTTCACCATCAAAATTCACCAAAATAACCGCCAATGCTTCACCGAGGCATTCTTCTTCCATCTTTATCTCGATTGCGTCCTCTACCTCATCAACAATATCAATGACTGAGATGCTTTCATATGCATGTGGCAATTTCATATCCTTACTCGTTTGAAAGGTAACCTCTTCGTTATTAACTCGGAACTTGATCTCATTTCGTTCCAAATCCATGAGTGCTCTTCCGGTATCAAGGAATGGTCTCCCCAAGATGATGGAGATTTCTTTATCAACAGCACAATCAAGGATCACGAAGTCGGCAGGGAGGAGGAACTTTCCCACTTTCATAAGAAGAACATCATCAATAATCCCCACCAGTCTCTTTATTGAACGATCGGCCATTTGCAACCTCATACTTGTAGGCCTCGGCATCCCTAACCCCGCTTGCTTGTAAATAGCAAGAGGAATTAAGTTGATGCTAGCCCCATTATCACAAAGAGCTCGGGCAAGATCGCGCAACCCAATAGTGCATGGAATGATAAAAGCTCCCGGGTCTTCTTTATTTTGAATGGTGGTTGTTGCAATGATGGAGCTAATCTGGTGTGTCGCATTAACCACTTCATTCTTGGTGATTTTCTTCTTAGTGATTAAGTCCTTCAAGTACTTAGCAAAACCCGGCATCTCTTGAAATGATTCCACAAATGGAATGTTCACCGATAATTGCTTGAGAATGTCATAGAATTTCTCGAGTTTGCTACCATCAACCCTCCTAGAAAGTCTTTGAGGGAAAGGAGGGGTGGTTTAGGAATTGGTGCTAGAGCTTTTGGTGCCTCCTTTACCTTTTTCTTAACCTCTTCACGATTCACTTCTTGAATTTTCACCTCCTTTGGGAGTATTTCAGCTTCAACAACAATTGGCACCTCAACTTGTGCCTAAACCTCTTATTCCGGATCTTCCACTTTGACTACTTGTTCATTCTCTCCTTGAAGTATTTTCCCACTTCGAGTTGTGATTGTAATACAATGAGAAGTCGGACCATTCCCATTACCTTTTGGATTTGCTATTATGTCACTTGGGAGTGTGCCTTTTTGCTTCGGATTTTGCTCTCTTGATAGATATCTCATTTGCATTTCTAACTTTTGTATGGATGCAATGTGAGAACCCACAAGCTCAGTCATATTCTTCATTGATGTGTCGGATCTTTCTTGATTTTGCAACACTCTTTCAAGCATGTTCTCAAATTTGGACTCACTTGAAGAACTTTCCTTCCAATGCGAAGAGTTAGAGTATTTCCCCTTTGGTGGAACATAGGGGTTTGAACTCCGATTTGAATAGTTGTTATTATTGTTAATCCAATTACCTTGATTTAAACTACCTTGATCATTTCTCCACTGTTGATGGCCTTGACCTTGCAGGTTAGACCTCCATTGATTTGTTGCCCAGGACCTTGGTAGGGTTGCCTTTGGTAACCACCTTGAGCGTTGTTGACATAATTTGCTTTCTCGTAATCCTCGTTTGACAAGGGTTGCACATCTTCCACAACATTCACTTTTTTTATTTGGCTTTCAATAAAAATCTTGGTCAACACATTGATATTGGTAGCAAGCCCGAAAATTACTTGATCTCTTTCTTGGTTCTCCTTAATCATGTTGGTCAAGGAAGGAGTACCATATGCAATTCCACCTATAGTGTCTTCTGAGTGCCAAGCTTGGTTATGTTCTGCCATCTTGTCAAGAATTTGTGTGACCCTTGCAAATGTTTTATCCATAAAGGATCCATCAGCTACATTTTTAGCCATGCATTGAGTCAAAGGATCCACGGCCATGTAAAACTTCTCCAACAAGATGCTGTCTGGAAAACCATGATTCGGTGACCTCACTAAATATAACTTGAATCCATCCCATGTCTCATGTAGATGCTCTCCCGGTAGTTGCTTGAAGAAGAAAATTTTATCCCAGAGCTCTGACTTCTTGCTTTGCGGGAGCCATTTAACTAGGAAAGCTCGAACGAGTTCCGGCCAAGTATGAATGGAATTAGGTGTTAGATTTTGGATTCATTTCCTTGCCTCTCCAGTTAGTGAGTACTTGAACACCCTCAGCCTTAGGGCATCATCTGAAATGTGATTCTGCTTGTGCATCGCACACACACCCAAGAAGTTTCTGAGATGTTGTGTCGGATTATCATCGATGGAATTTCTGAAAAACCCCTCTGCTTTGAGCATTAGGATTAGATAGTGTTCCACCTTGAAGTTAGCAGCATCAACTCTTGGAGGGACAATGGCATTTGTATCCTCAATATACTCATCTATATCCGCAAAAGAGTTCTCTTCTTCTAACTCAGCCATGTTTACCTAGTAACACCAAGCAAAGCAAGCAAAGTGTGATGGAGTAGAAGAAAACGTAAAGTAAACACACACTAAATAGTAATTTCAAAACCGTATTCCCCGGCAACGGCGCCAAAATTTGATACGCTCAAATTACACCTAAATAAATGGTGTAAGGCGGTCTATATCAAATATAATAACCCAACTAGGTTGGGGTCGAATCCCTCGGGGAATAGTTGAGAAAAGATTACTTAAATAGTGTAAAACTTGACTTAAGTCGTAATCCTACTCCGTTAGCTTAAAAGAAAGTGTTGTAATTATGAGTTATCGAGAAAACTATTTTGTTATGAGAATGTAATTAATTTGATTAAGGAAACCAAGGTTGTGTCCCCATCAATAGAATATAATGCTATCAGTGTTAATATGATATATTCCTAATGAAAGGTCCTTTGATATGCAAATGGTTTCTAAATGACTACCCAATATTTTCCAATAGTTAGGTAGTATTTTCTCTTTATGATTTTCCCAAATATAAAAGAGTTACAATTAAGAACAACCAATTTATGCCAAATAGAACCCACTTATTCCTAAGCAATTCTACTAAACAAGGTTTAAAGTCTTGAGTTTTAGATACTCAACTCTACCAAATCCTAACCCACTTTTCCAAGTAAAGATAGGATGAAATGGCATTAGTCAATGTTTGCAACCACCAACATTAAATGAAGCATGAGAAATGAATAAATACCAACCAACCATTATATATATATTCAATGGTAAACACCCATTAACATTACACCCATTTAGGGCTCACAACCTTGGTATTTAAAACTAGCTACCCATACTAGAATCCAAGAACAAAGCAATAAATGAAGTCATAAAACTTACAAAGATACAAGATTCTTTCTTCAAAAGCTTCCAAAATAATGGTGTATTCAATGCTCTAAAAGTAGTCGTTTTTTCAGATCATATGTCCCACAAAAATCCTAGTAAATCTATTTATAATGGGCCAAAAGTCGGGGTCAAATTTAGACAAATATGCCCCTGTAGAACACATCTGTGACCGTGAATGGGTCGCAGATCATGTATGCAGTCCGCAGAAATACAAAGTTGCCACATAATTGCACGCCTAGTTGCCCAGTTCCCCATCGCAGATCCATTATGCGGTCTGCATATTGATTACATGACCGCAGACTGCGTCGCAAAAGTGCTCTCGCAGAATCTCCTTTTGCACTTATGCGGTCATTATGCGGTCCGCAGAAGCGTTATGAGACCGCATATTTCTCTCTTCAAGAGATGGACCACCTGCTTCAGTATGCGGTTGGTTTGCGGCTCACACATCACTTCTGCGGTCGCAGACCTGCCGCATTTCTGCCCTTCTATGGGTTTTTATCTTCTTTTCCATGTTCTTGGTTCTTCAAGTCTGGTACACTGCAAAACACCAAAACTTCATAAGAAATAACTAAAAATTCTTTAAAAGACGAGCTAAAGTCTATGCAATTAGTATCAAAAGTGCCAAAATTCTATGACATATCACAGACATCAAGAGGAACGTGCAGTGATCCTGTTCAAGCAGAGATGTCCAGTCGCCCGCAAAGACAATACCAATTACCAGCTCGTTTGCAAGATTATGTTATTGGCGATGATAATAATTTATCCAATGAAGATATTGTAAGTTTTGCCTTATTTGCAGATTGTGATCCTGTTACTTTTGAGGAAGCTGTTAAAGATGATCGGTGGGTTCATGCAATGAATGAAGAAATTCATGCTATTGAGAAACATAATATATGGGAATTGATTACTTTACCACCCTCAAAAAGACCAATTGGAGTCAAGTGGGTATACAAGAACAAGTTCAAACCAACTGGAGAAGTGGATCGCTTTAAGGCAAGATTAATTGTTAAAGGATACAAGCAGAAGGCACGTATTGATTACTTTGAGGTATTTGCACTTGTTGCTAGATTTGATACTATTCGTATGATAATTTCTCTTGCTGTTAATAATTGCTGAAAATTTTTTCAAATGGATGTGAAATCTGCTTTCTTAAATGGTGTACTTGAAAAAGAAGTGTATGTTGAGTAGCCTGCTGGTTATGTCAAAAGAGGTCAAGAAAATAAAGTTTATAGGCTGAAAAAGGCATTATATGGATTGAAACAAGCACCTAGAGCTTGGTACACTCGTATTGATTCTTATTTTATTGGACATGGATTTCAGAAATATCCATATGAGCATACTTTATATATCAAATTCAAGTGTGGCGAAGATATTCTCATTGTGTGCTTATATGTGGATGATTTAATTTTTACTGGCAATAATCTTAAATTAATTTCTGAGTTTAGGGAGGCAATGATTAGCCAGCTTGAGATGACTGATTTTAGTTTAATGTCTTATTTTATTGGCATTGAGGTATCTCAATTAGATAATGGAATATTTATCTCTCAGAAAAAATATGCGGGTGATATTCTAAAGAGATTTAATATGGATAAAGCTAAATTAATTTTGACCCCTGTTGAAGAAAAATTGAAGTTGGTTAGAGATGGGACTGGTGACTTTGTTGATGCTACATATTTTAGAAAATTGGTAGGGAGTCTAAGGTACTTGACTTCTACAAGTCCTCATATTACTTATGGAGTTGGATTAATTAGCAGATTTATGGAGACTCCACGACAATCCCACTTACAAGCAGCAAAGAGAATTTTGAGATATATTCAAGGTACGCAGACTTATAGTATATTTTATTCAAAGACTAATGATAGTAGTCTTGTGGGATTTACAGACAATGATTGGGCTGGTGATACGATACAAAAAAAAAGTTATTCTGGCTATGTATTTTATTTGGGTTCTAGTATATTTTCTTGGTCTTCCAAAAAGCAACAAGTTGTTGCTTTATCAACAACTGAAGCAGAGTACATGGCTGCATCAAGTAGTGCTACACAAGCATTGTGGTTAAGAAGAATGCTTGGATTTCTTCAACACAAGCAAGACAATCCTACAATAATTTTTTGTGATAGCAAGTCTGTAATTGAGTTAACAAAGAATCCAATTTTTTCATGGGCGTAGCAAACACATTGATATCAAATTTCACTTTATTTGTGACTTGGTTCAAGACAAGGAGATGGTTATTGAGTATTGCAAGACTGGAGAGCAAGTTGCTATATTTTCACAAAGTCACTAAAATTGGAGTTATTCATCAAGTTGAAGAAGATGTTGGGCATGATCAAATTTGAAGATCTTAGTTTAAGGGAGGCTGTTGGAAACTAAACCAAGATTAATTAGTATTCCTAAGTTGTCTAGAATTTAATATTTGGTAGTTTATTTAATTCATGTCTAGTTAGGTTTATTTACCAAATTCATATTGGAATAGGTTTTATTAGTCTAGTCAAAATTAGTTTGTAGTATTATAAATAGGGGTGTTACTACATATTTTCTATTGTAGAGAGATAACTATGATATAGAGAGATTCAAGAGTTTATGAGTTATGAAAAAGCCTCCTACCACGTTCTCTCCCTAGTTTAATAAATTTCTTCTATATAGTCTTTGTTGAATTTTTTTGCTTTTGCCTAAATTATTCTTGGGGTATTTTAATAATTCACCTACTCTAGAAATCAAAGTCGCACTCTTTGATTTCCCCACCACAAGAACTCATCCCAAAAGAATGAAGGATTTTGAAGAAAGTAATTAACGAAGATTTGATGTATATAAATAGATCTAATGATAGATAGAGAGATGTTGTATATAACATTGCTTAGAAGTTATTTGAGACTTCTGTAGAATACCCTTTATATAGACAAGGTTTTATGACCTTTGCCAATGGGTGCTTTATTTAAATTTAAACAAGCAGCTAACAAAGAGTTAGTTACTCATAAAAAAATACATCAGTTAGTTTCAGAGAAGGCAACAGTTGAATTCAAATTTAAGATAGAATTCTTTTTCCTGTTTTTTAAAAAAAATATATATTATTATTAAGTAATATANTATACATGAGTTATTGTTCTGCAATAGCGGCGCCGATTAATATGGGCCTTGCTGTCACAACCCGCATTTTGGAGTTGTAACTTCGTTCAGATCCGGTGAGAAAGAGTCCTTCTGATTATCTGGCGTAGACCTGCAGCGAGGGGAACTGCAGGCGCCGCATGCACTATTCGGTGCCGCTGACGAGCATAAGAAAGTCGGCCTGTGACACGTGGTATCAGAACTGATTAAGGCCATACTATGCCATGACACAATGTCAAGGCAAGAGTTGAGATGGCGAGCGCATTTTGGATGTCAGTGCGGAGATCATGTCAAAGCAGAGATTAATGTTCATATGCCACCAGAGATCGAGAACCTGATGGTGATATGCCGATGAGTCGGGTGGTCAAAAAAAGGCCGTATTTTCCAGGTCGAACAACTATATTGCAAAGAGTGGGAACCGTGCACTATAAACTTTGGGTATGATTGCAGCGGAAATCTTGCCAAGGATGCATGCATCGCATCGGTTGAGTGTCCTTCCTACGGGATAGACTTGTGAACTGCCTGAAGGCATTGTCAAGGTGAGAAGACGAATTCGAAGGAAATAGCAAAGCTTCAGAATTGGGCGGATTTCCATGTTGGAAGGTGTCATTCTAAAAAAGGGGTATACCGAATGATCGGGGACCACTGAGATGGGGCCAAGTATGAAGCACACCGGACCAGGAAGTCGTGCTAGCAGAACCAAGAGAGTTCTTGACTATAGGACGAGTACAGACGTAATACCAGGAATATTGGGTACTTGTTGAGGAAGTAACAGTTGAAAAACAAAGAGCTTTGTTCGTGAATGTGGCGATTCTATGACTTTGAGAATGTAGTACTCACCAAGAGTACGTCCCAAGAGCTGGCCGAATGCCAAGTGGGATGAGTGCACTAAGAAGTGTCCTTCACATTGAATGTGGGAGGATCCGCCTATGCAAGAGGCATTGGGGCGAAATTGTGAGTCCGGAAGCGAGCAAGTCTTCAAAGGTAATGAGGGCAAGGAAATGGCTATGGTAGCGATGGAGCTACGAGAGCTATGCCAGAGAGTGTGAAAAGGCTACGAGAATGATTAAGCTACAAGAGCCACGCCAAAGAGCACGCTGATGTGCTTACCATTGAGGGAAGAGCTTCAGACGGACATAAAGGCCGTGAGGGTCATGGTATGGGTCACCACAAAGTTAGACACCAGAGGGTGCAAGTACGGAGGTACTTTCCAAGTAAACACCGAAAGGAGGTGAAGTGAGAGGAACGCTTGGAAGATACTTGGGGAGAAGTGCAAGGGGCACGACTCCTTTTTGAGCAGGACATCGAGGAAGTCTGACCCACAGGACTAAGGGAGCCGCGATGTACATACCTGAGGGGGCAGACTCCGGGATGTCGTAGGCCTTTATGTGCCAATGAGGACGATAACAGAATGAGTGTGGGAGGATGTCACAACCCACATTTTGTGGTTGTGACTTTGTTCATATCCGGTGAGAAAGAGTCATTCTGATTCTCTGACATAGACCTGTCTACTCAGGAAACTTAGGCTTTTTAATTTTAAGCATATATAAGGGGGGTATAGATATTGAAGCTCAACCTGCCTCCCCATGCGTACTGCCACCAAGCCGTACAGAATGAGTGACCTTGAGGGAGAACCTCAAGGGCCTGCCTGGATGACTCAAAGGAGTGTTATAGGTATCCATATGGGTGGGGCACCAAACGGTGCTGGAGGCTCGATATGTGGAATGGGTATGCCCCGCGGGCTACCGAAATAGTGGACAAAGATCTCCGTGTCAATTGGATATTTGATACACCTATCTTAGGGGCCTCATGTGTTGACTTGTAAGCATAGATTGGGGTCAGCTATGCGAGCAAGGGTCCGTTGGCCTAAACGTGTAGTTGTGGGGCGACACTGCACTATTCAGGATGAAAGTGTGTCGCGGGGGCTATGTATGGGCATGCCACTAAAGACGCACACTACAAGAAAAGGCTCAATTTATGGGGGTTATTTTGTCAATTTGTGACGATTTTTGACCCCCACAAAATTATATTGAGGCGGTTTTTAAAAACGCCACAGTTATGTTCGCCACGAGCATATTTGAGGTGGTTTTTGAAAACCTCCACGACGACCGTCGCAAAATGACTTTTTACATTGTGGGGGTTTATAAATCAATTTGTGACGGTTTAGAACCTCCATTAATATGGTTTTAGTGTTTAAAAAAAAATATTTCGGGGATTTTTAAACCCCCACAATATGATTTCAGCATTAAAAAATATATATGGGATTTTATACCTCCCAAATATGATATTAATGTTCAAAAACAATTAGTGGTAGTTCATTTTGCCACAGTTAAATATATAATTTTATTGAATAAGTTATAATATAAGTCAAATTCTGTTAGAAACAACCATTGTGAGAAACATTACAAATTTAAATCCATACCAAATTAAACAAATCTATTATCAAGTATGATATCTAATATGGTGACCAACTAGATAGGATAGTAAAAACTGTATATATATTATTTATTATAACATTTAGCTCCACCATTTATTCTAAATAGAATAGAGTACTGCTCTCTAGCTAAGACTCCAGAGACTGCCGAAACACAACTGACAGGCAGGTACTAAAACTCTTAAGAAAACTATTAACTCTTGGCAATACCGCAATAGCATGGTAATGATACAAATGGCAAAGAAATTGATGGGTTATAAAAACCTGAACTTAACTAAGAAAAGGGAGTTCTCAATGTTGTAATAATCAGCAATGAATTTTAACCATGTTGTGACCATACTCTCTCAGTTGTGCTGCATCCATGTGCTTCAATTCACCCTCCCTAACTATGAAAAGAAAACCCAAAAGATTATACATAAAAGCACATTCGGCAAATGTAAACTTTAAAGCAATGAACATACATGCAAAGTGTAATGCTTTTGAAGTGATACATTTTAACATCAAACAAAGGCAATTAATAACACATTAAAAGCGAAGCATTTTGACATCAAAGTAACCACAATTTTATTGAGTACTATACCATCCATAACTCAGAGTTTGTTGAAGGCTACTCATTTTTTACTTTTGACAAACCAAAGAAAAAAGCATATTGATGAGCTACAACAAGGCCACTCATTTTTCATCATTCATGACAACACTAAATCAATGGAAAAGTATGAGTTTGTTGAAGTCGTAAACTATACAGTAGTACTTATTCTCGTTATGGTACTAGACATAGAGTTTGTCTTGGATTTAATTGTACCTGGTTGAACAGGATAAGTTTTATGGCAAAGGAACGTTCAACTTATACGTAAAAGCACACTAAATAAACTTTTTCTTTCCATAGCTATACCTACTATTACAAATAATTTTCAACTAGTAAGCTTTCTCAGAAGTCATAACCTTCCAGAGGAAAGCAGCCTTAGAATTAAAACTGCACTTGAGCTTGTAGGAAACATATTGACAAAGTTCTACCTCATTATTTATTCCCTTGACTAACATGAAAATCCAACAGCCATATTTTATTATACTGAAAATAAAATAAATGCTTAGGAGCTCAAACAGGGACAAACATAAATCTCACGCGACTGAAAAAATGAAGTAAATATTTTTTTTTATAAGAAGAGAGTAGTCTCCTAATAAAACTAAGGACTACAACAGTTGTACTACAACAACTATTACTATTACGCCTCAATTTTCAAGCTAGTGTGGTTAGATATATGAATTCTCACTAACCATTTCGACTATCAAAGATAAATATAGAATATAAATCCTTGCCAGGCAGAATATAAAGTACAAAGCTCCCACCCAATTGCAAAAATTAGAATATAGTTCCTGTAACTTCTTGCATTTTATTAATCACTACGAGAAGTTGAAGTATGAAGTATGTCCCAACTACTACAAATTTCTAATAACATGAGGTGAGTAAGGATAATAATATTGGAAAAATGGCAGCATAAGGTAACAACTAGTATGGAAAGCTGGTCTCCTTTGGAAGCCTTCGCCGGAAGTTCCAGAATGTTGTCTGTGAATTTCTATAACAAAGGAAAAGTCGGTCGATGGTGTGAAAATACTTCCTGATGTCGAATTCCAAAAACCAGCGAGAGGTTTGCTGTCTACTTCGCGAGCCTTCACTGCCCCGTTCTGTAACTTCCCTTCTTTCGTCCGTCCACGAGGCTGTAAAAAGAGAGAAAGGGGCGGCTATCTAGCGGGAGTCGTTTCGGTTGTATGCCACGAGGTCCCTATGGACAAGGGGACAAGTGAATCATCGCTTTTGGGCGCAGGCAGCCCTCTACCATCTATCCCATTGCATTCCATCGTCTCGTATTGTACTGTGCCGTATCAGACCAGATAGATCTATTGAGTGAGAGAAAGGGAGAAAACTCTAATTAGATATTCTTTTTATATTGATAGGGATCCCCATTCATTCCTAGATTCCCGTCACTNAAGGGGCGCACAAACAAAGAATGTCGTTGTGTGGGGATGCGATTCGCCAAGCTGGGGCAAAGAAAGCCGTCCGACCCTACCGAAGTACCAAAGGCTTTCGAGGCTTACACCTCCCTATTATAGGAGGGGCAAGTATATATAGTCTTTCCCTAACCTTTCCCCCTATTAAACCCAATGGACTTGTTTTGTAGCAAAAAGATGCAAGCACCTATTTATTGGGAACCCGAAGTTATTGGTCGTGCATTGGGTATCTTAATAGGAAATGAAGCACTATGCAATAGTCATAGCAACATCTACAATTTATAATCATGACTTTTATTCTTTAATTTTTTTATTTTGGTTGATGAATATTGTCATAGTTCAATTTATTCAACCAGCCTAAAGCTCAAAAGTCAAACTTTCAGTTGGTGTGGAAAATGCCTCTTACTTGAGAGGATCAGTTGAGTAACAGAGGAAGCTTACATAAGACCTTGTTAATAAAAAAAGAGAATTATCAAACATATGATGTCACCAATTATATATAAAGAAAAGTTAATTTAGAGAGGTGAGGTTTACCTCATACATAGACTATTGCATCTCCAATCATGTAGCTTCAAATTTCTGCTATACATAGGCTTATTTTAGTCCTTTTATTTGCTTGCAGAGTTCAATGGGAGAATAAGTGTATTTCATCAAACAATTGGCCTGCACTATGCACATAAGAAAATACAGTAAAAATAATCTCACAAGTCACATATCAACAATGATTATATTTGTCTGTACATAAGAATAAGATTAAAACAACAGAAAGAATATAAAATTATAATGGTAAGAATCAAAACAGGGATTTGTTATACCTTGTAGAGTTGTAGAATAGTGAAGCAAAGAGCACTAAGTCTATTGATGACTTCACAATGGTAAACTATTGCTGACTTCACAATGGTAAAATATTAAGTGGGATCTGCAGCATATCAATAAAAAACGCAAGGAAACAAAACCTGGACGAGTTATGCTCAATCAATTCTTGGAAAATAAACCCAGTGAATATTTTTCCACCTTTAATTTCCCACTAGCAAAATTAGGGTTTAACTGACGAAGTCTATGGGCAGCGACAGAGAGAGAGAGAGAGAGAGAGTAGCGAGAGATGAGTTGTAATACCTGGGTTCTGGGGATGGTGGCCTGCGATAGGGAGACAGAGCGACAACGGTTGGGCAGCAGCGATGAGAGCAGAGAAATATGAAAAATGAGGTTGAGCAGCAACTATTATTTTATGAATTTTTACAGAGCAAAAAAATGAAGGAATATCAAAAAGAAAAAGGAATGGAGGGAATTGGTCATAGTTGGATTAAGAAGATCGCGGGAAACATAAAGATTTAAAATTTTGATTGGCTTTTAGTGGGGTTCTTTTACAACCCCTATACATAAACCTCGACAAACACAATTATTTTGAGGAGATTGGTACAAACTCCACAAAACTAACGAATAGTGGGGTTTCTTATGACCTCCCTAAATAAACCCCCATAAATTGAGATTTTTCTTGTAGTGACATGACAATGGCCAAGGACTAAAGATTGCCTTACTCGGGCGAAGCACAAGCTGGGTGCAGATGCACGAGACGAGTATCAAGCTTGAGAATTGGACTATGCACGCGAGAGCGATGCTCAGTTCTAAGCGAAGGACAAGACATGTCCTTAGCCAACCCTCAGGGCGTGCATGGATTACAATCCTAAGACGAGAAGTGCCACATCTAGTCGAGGCCAAGAGCCTAGACATCATACGGGCGGCACAATTGGAGCAGGCCTTCTAGGCAAGCTTCACAGCAGGCACATGATCGTGCTTGGAAAACCTGGAAAAGGAAAGGCTGGCCTGCAGCGAGGGGAACTGCAGGCACCGCACGGGCTATTCTGTGCCACTAACGAGCGTAAGAAAGTCGGTCCGTGACACTTGCACTCAATCTTGTTTTAGCAAGTACTCTAGGATTCACCATCAAATCCATAAGAACCGGACTCTCACTTTCTTATACTTGTATTAGCAGTCTCATCAAGAGTGTCCACAACCGCTCTACCACTCCTCTTTAATCTAAGAAACTGTTAAAGAACAAAGTTCAGCCTTCTCATTGTGGAAATCAGTGCATATAGTCAAACATGTAACTTTAAAGGAATAGCAATTTTACCTTTCTTCACAAGACTTCTCACATGATTGCATCTCATGGCAATATGCTTGCTATTGCCAGACATCCTCTCGTTCTTTGTATTGTGAATTGCAGCTTGATTATCACAATATAAAGTAATAGGTCCTTTAGGAATATTAATAAATGGTAAGCACTTCATGAATCTCCTAATCCATAGAATATCTCTGCTAGCAAGAGACATAGATATAAATTCAGATTTCATTGACGATAGTGCAACGCAAGATTGTTTCTTAGAGGACCAAGCCACTATAGCTCCTCTTACAGTGAGTAACCAGCCACTAGTAGACGTAGAGTTGCTTCTATCGGAAGCCCAGTTGACATCACTGCAACATTCCAGAACAGAAGAAGTACACTTATAATGTAAACCATAGTTTAATGTATGCTTCAAATATCTCATTAATTTGCTAATAGCTTTCCAATTCTCATGACTAGGATTGCTAGTAAATCTACTCAGCATACCAACAACACATGCCTAGTACTATTCATCACATACATTAAACTACCAATTATCTTAGCATACTCTCCTTGATTAATAGGTTCATCAGCGTTAGGCGTTAAATTAATATGAGGACCAAGAGGAGTTTTACTAGGTTTACAATCTACAAAATTAAATTTTTTAAGCAACTTCTCAATATAATGTGATTGTGTAAGAATAAATTCATTTTCTTTTCTAATTACTCTAATACCTAGTATCACATCTACAGGACCTAAATCTTTGATATCAAAGATTTGCATAAGAAATTTTTTGGTTTCATTAACACATGCTATGTTAGAACCAAATATAAGTAAATCGTCAACATATAAAATAATAAGAACTTTATGATTGTCATTGCATTTATAAAAAATACAATTTTCTGCTTTACTACATTTAAAGCCAATAGATCTTATCTCCTTTTTAAACTTTTTATACCATTGTCTAGGTGCTTGTTTAAGACCATATAAAAATTTGTTAAGTTTACATACCTTGTGTTCTTCTCCACTCACAACATAACCTTTAGGTTGTTGAATGTAAATTTCTTCATCTAACTCACCATTGAGAAATGTTGTTTTGACATCCATCTGATGTACTTTCAAATTATACATCGAAGCAATAGCAAACATGACTCTAATAGTAGTAATGTTAGTAACATGAGAAAATATTTCAAAGTAGTCAAAACCTTCTTTCGGGCTATAACCTTTTGCTACTAATATTACTTTATATCTATCTATACTTCCAACAGCTTTAAGTTTCTTCTTCAGGACCCATTTAGAACCAACAATCTTAGTATTAGGAGGAAGTTCTGCCAAGGTCCATGTATTATTATTATCATGAATAGATTTAATTTCGTCATCCATAGCCTTTTTCCAAATATTAGCATCAGGTAGTGACATAGCTTCTTGATAAGTTCTAGGATCCTCTTCTATTGAATATATAAACATTCCAGGACCTAGATCTTTTTCTATCCTACGTCTCTTACTTCTCCTTACCTCAGTAGATTCAGGACTAATTGTATTTGCATGTGTGCTAAGAGAAGAGTACCTTACAGGCACGGGTAAAGAAGTAGAAGCTACATCATCTCTTGTTTGAATATTTGTTTTTAATTCATTTGACAAATCTTTCTATAGTTCTAATGCATCAACATCTTTAATAGTTAAATGCTCAAAATAAATAGCATGAACAGATTCAAACCACTGTTAGTATGCAAATTAAGAAATCTAGATGCCTTACTATGCATGAAATAGCCAAAGAAAATAGATTTAATTGTCTTGCTGCCTAACTTGGGTCTTTTTAGTGTTGCATCTAATGCATATGCAATGCATCCCCAAACTTTAAAATAACTGATATTTGATTTTCTATTTACAACTCATAAGGTAATTTATCTTGTCCTTTTTTGTAAAATTCTATTAGTTATATGACATGCAGTATATAGAGTTTCACCCCAAAAACTGTCAGGCAACTTAGAATGTAGAAGCATTGCACTAACCATCTCTAAAAGTGTCCTACTCTTCCTTTCGGCAACTCCATTTTGTGGAGGAGAGTTAGGAGCAGAAAATTCTCCTACTATTCCATGTTGTTCACAAAATTAATGAAATAAATTGGGTTGAAAGAAATTTGCCACCTCTATCAGATCTTATCCTTTTAATTTTCTTATTAGTCTTATTTTTTATTTCTTCTTTACAGATTTTAAATTTTTCAAAAGTCTCATCTTTTACTCTAAGCAAATAAACATATGTATATTTTGAAAAATCGTCAATGAAAGTCACAAAATATCTTTTAACCCCTCTAGTCAAATGATCTTTGTTGTCACATAAATCAGTGTGCACAACTTCTAAAAAAGATGTCGTTTTAAAAACTGATTTAAAAGGTGACTTAGTGATTTTTGCTTGTGCACAACATTCACAATTATTGGTAGTATAAATGTGTGAAGATTTAGGAATATAATCATATGAAATCATGTGATTTATTGCATTACTACCTATATGACCTAATCTATAATGCCAAAAAACATTCACATCATCAACAATATAAGCAGAAGCACTTGAAACTTTATTCATACTTAAAACATACATATGTCTTTTGCATAAACTTTCCCAACAAATGATTCGTTCTTAGAAATAATAACTTTCTGGGAAACAAATACTACTCTAAAACCATAATCATCAAGTTTTTTAATAGAAACAAGACTCTTCCTAATTCCAAGAATGTGATGAACATTCTTGAGAGTGAGAAGTGAGAACTTTTCTAGAAGAAAGCGGAAGTTGCACAGTGCCAATTCCCATAACAGCACGAGTGGTGGAGTTGCCCATATATTCATATGTTTTGAAACCACTTTTGAATGGAGTGACATGGCAAGTTGCTCCAAAATCTAACCACCATTCTTCATTGCTATCCATCATAAGAATTTCAGTAAGAATAGCAACCATTTCTTCTTCTTGCTCCATGAAATTGGCTTCTTCTTTCTTACCTTTGCGAAATTTACAAACTCTAGCCAAATGTCCCATCTTACCACACACAAAGTAAGGTCCTCTGTTTTTCTTACTAATACCATTCTTGGAATCAAATCTTTTTTTATAATCACAAGTCTTGTTTCCATTGTGAAACTTGTTAACCTTGGTTTTAGCAGATTTGGAGGATGTGGAATTTTCAACATTATGCACTTTATCCTTTCCATTGTAAACAAGTAAATCTATATTTCTAGCCTCATACTCAATTTGAATATGCTGAAGTAATTGATCCAAATTTAGAGACTTAGTCTTGTGCTTTAATTTCATCTGGTAATCTTTCCAAGAAGGAGAAAGTTTACCAATAATAGTAGAAACTTGAAAAGTCTCAGTAATTGGCTCACTCACATCAGCATATTGAGAGGCAATTTCATTTAATTCATTTACTTGATCAATAACACGTTTGGAATCATCCATTTTAAAATCAATATACTTATTAATTAAGAAGGATCTATTTCCAGCATCTTCTATTATATACCTTCGCGAGATGGCAGCCCACAACTCATATGCAGGGTAGCATTTGTGAAACACATTGAAGCGTGCATTACTCATTGCATTCAGGATCATTGAGCGGCACACAAAATCATCTTCAAGCCATTTTTGTTGTGAGTCCGAAAGCTTCCTGTATGCTTTTCCATCTTGTCGATATGAACAAGTCAAGACATAGTAGACTTTCGCAATCATCAATTGATACATCATCTTCATACTTTAACCAGAGGCGGATCCAGGAATTGATGGTTACGGGTGCCACTGCATTTAATGTATAGTAACTAGTAGTCAAGGCGGTTGAATTTGGGTATACATGCATTTTGTCGGTTCGCTCTATTTTAAATTAATTTAGTTCAATTCGATCCATTTTGAATTAATTTGGTTTGCTTTACAAAATCTTTTGGTGCATAAATAAACAAATGATAATCAAACTGAATATATTTGGTCCTTTCAAGGAAAAAATAATACTAACTAAATAAAAAAAGAAAAATGATTAAAAGCATATTAAAAAAAAAGAAATTGAGATATAGAACAAAAGAACTTAAGCAAATATACTTTTTAAATCTAAATAACTAATACAAATGGAATTGTACATAGAGAAAAAATACAAAAATGAAGATAAAAGAATTCAAGAAAACAAGAAGAAAAAAAGTAATCTGGAAAGAGGTAACACAGTAAAGTAAAATTACAATATGAGCAAAAATGAGGGTCGATCTTGGGTATTGGGCCTGCCAAGAGTTACTATGATGACCCAAAATGTCATTTTTAAATTTAATAATTAATTTTGTATTCTAAAACCTCGAAAAGCACTATTTATCATTCCTCGACTTGCGTGCACAGTCCGTAAAATTTTTCGGAAAGTTTTCAGGTGAAAAATGAATTAAAATGTGAATTAGAGCTTTAAAACTCAATTGAGTTGACTTTGGTCAATATTTTGAGTAAACAGACTCGGATCAGTGTTTTGATAGTTCCGGTAGTGCGTATCGTGATTTGGGACTTAGGCGTATGCCCGGAATTAAATTTTGAGGTCCCTAGCCCGAGATATGGAGTTTTGATGAAAAATTAAAAGTTTAAGTTCTAATAGTGACCGGATGTCAAATTATGTGCAAACGACCCCAGAATAGAATTCTGATGATTGCAACAGCTCCGTATGGTGATTTTGAACTTAGGAGCATGATCGGACTTTTATTTGGAAGTCCGTAGTGGAATTAGGCTTGAAATGTCAAAAGTTGAATTTTTAGGAAGTTTGACCGGGGGTTAACTTTTTGATATCGAGGTCGGAATCCGATTCTGGAAATTGGAATAGGTCTGTTATGTCATTTATGACATGTGCGCAAAATATGAAGTCATTCCGAGTTGATTTGATGTGTTTCGGCACAAGATATAGAATTTGAAAGTTCAAAGTTCATAGATTTTGAATTGAGGTGCGATTCGTTGTTTTAATGTTGTTTGATGTGGTTTGAAGCCTCGACTAAGTTCGAATTATATTTTGGGACATGTTGGAATAATTGGTTAAGGTCCCAATGGTCTCGGGTGGATTTCGGAAGGTAAACGGAATAGATTTCGGACAAAGAAAGTTGGTTGCAGAAATTTCGCCAGATATTTCTGGTGTGTGGAGCCAAACTTTGGAAGCTTATATCGCGCAATTTATAAGGAATCAGAATATTTTCAAAACATGAAAGTTCTAGTGGTTTGATTCTAGTTTCCATAAGGTTAAACCATTCATTATTTGGACATTTGTACAGAAAGTTATGATGGATTGAATGAGGGCTGGTAGAGCAGTTTCACCAGAAATTTCGCCAGAAATTTCGGATGCGTGGAGCTGACTTTAGAAGCTTATATCTCGCAATTCATAAGGAATCGAAATATTTTCAAAACAGGAAAGTTGTAGTCGTGTGATTCTAGTTTCCAGAAAGCTAAACCATTTATCATTTGGATATTTGTATATAAAGTTATGATCGATTGAAGGAAGGCTGGTAGAGCAGTTTCTGGTGGACTTTTAATGATGAAAAATGGACTTTTAGTGACGGAAAATGGACTTTTAGTGACGGATGGGTAAAAACTTAAGGACTAAAAATGGTCATTTCATTCATTTTATTTTGGATTTTTGGAGCACGGTTCTTGGGCGATTTTCACGGGAAAATATTGGGGTAAGTGTTCCTTATCCTATATTGATTATATTTCATGATTCCATACTCATTTACATCATGAATCCATAAATTTATGGAAGAAAATTTAATATTTTTGCAAAAGCTTCCCAAAACGAAAATTTAAGATTTGGAGGTCGATTTGTTATCGGAATTTGGTAAAATTGGTATGGGTGGACTCGTAATTGAATGAGTTATCGAATTTTGTAAATTTCGCCGGATTCCGAGATGTGGGCCCCACGAGCAAAATTTGAGGTAATTTCGGATTTTATTGAAAAATATAATATTTTCTTATGAAATTGATTACTATAATTTTTGTTGACTGTATTGAATTAATTATGACTAGATACGAGTCGATCGGAGTCGAAAAATCGAGGAAAAAGCATAATACTTGATTAAATTGGAGCAAGTCGAGGTAAGTGACTTGTCTAACCTTATGTGGGGGAAATTCCCCTAGGATTGATAATTGTAATGTGTGGAAAGTCGTGCACACGAGGTGACGAGTGTGTACACGGGCTAAATGTGAAAGATTATGTTTTAAATTGTGTAGATCACT